TAGAGTCAAAGATTGATCTTCAGTCTTTATGTGTAGGCTCAAAGTCATTGATTTGAATTCTTACTTATATAACATTGCAGGCAAAGATGGAGAAGATAGAGCAACTGGAGAATGATCTCAACCTCAGTGAGAAGGTATAATTCTCACACATTGTACTTTCACCCTTTTCTTGCCATGTCATATTTATATTAATTCTTCTTCTCCTTTTTCATGCAGCAAGCTGATAAGTATCGTGAGCTGTATCTCACTGAGCAAGAGCAAAAGTTGGACTTAGAAAGTGATATCAAGGATTGCAAGGTAAGCATGGACTGGAAACATTCATATTTCTTCTCTTAATTCTGGAAGGTTCCCTGCTCATAAATTTATATTTGTTCTCCAGATAAATCTCGAAAAGAATAGGAAAGAATTGCTTGATCTTCAAGAGAACCATAGGGCAGCCATCTTGACACTGAAGGAAAAGGAATTCATCATCTCCAAACTGCTATACTCAGGTACCAGAGTCAATGTTGGAAATTTTCATTGTCTATCTTTTTGCTTATTAGTAACACTGAAAATTGTTTTACAAGCAGAAAATTCTTTAATTGAACGGACAAAGGAGTTACGTACCGATTTGCAACATGCATCAGAGGACATAAATTCACTTTTTGCAAAACTAGGTATAATAACTTCTATCCTCTTATTCTGTGGTTGCATCCAAGTTTATGATTCGCATTGGAAACTATATCATATTTTGAAGTTCAGTGATGTTTATTAAAAATAATTGCCAATAATCTCTTCTAACAAAAAGGACCTTGTTGCTTCCAAACAAATTTTTTAAGGAGAAATGCACTCCAAATGTTTCATGGTTTGCTAAACATGTGCAGTTGGCCCAATGGTGTGGGCAGCTCCATGTGTGCACAAAGAAGTGAAATGCCCATTTGCATGAAAGGTTCTGATGGATCAAACTGTAACTCCTTGTGTAAAGATATATCCCATGAAACGAGACCTTAAATAACACTAGTTGAATTTGAGTATTCTAAATTACAAAAAAAAAAAAAAAGTGTGTTCATGATTCCATTTACCTCCATTTCAGAGACCTTAAATATAAAACTTTTACTCCGCACAGATGATAAGGACAAGATGGAGGCAGAAAATCGAAACATTGTTTTGACTTTTGGTTCTCAGCTTGATCAACATCTAAAAGATTTGCACAAGACCATCCTGGGCTCCATTTCTCAACAGCATCAACAACTTAGATGCATGGAAGAGCATGCTCATTCATTTCTTGCCAGAAAATGTGATGTAAGAGTGGAAAAATGTTGTCCTATCTTACTCTATGCATCCTGCTACTTTAATCCTGATGCATGATTTATGAATTTTTGACAGGCAAACCAAGCCTTGGAATCTAGGATTAAGAATATGACAGAGACATATGCTTCAGGAATGGCTGCAATGAAGGAACTTGCCAATATAATGCAAAGGAATGCTTCCTCCGACCTGGAGCAAATGAGTTCTGCATTTTCATCTAAAATAGCTGCCATTGAGCAGGTATGCTATCCAAGGAAGATAATTACTTTTCTTCAAGTTGCTTATGGAAGCATGTGATTTGGATTTGCTGCTAATTGGTGTGTGTTAATTTTTTCTTTGTAGTTCCTTGTCACTGCAGTGCTGGAGGCCAAGGAGGTCCTTGAGGATCTCCAGAATTCTCTTATTGAACAAAAGGAGCTATTGGTTTCCTCTACTCTACAACAGGAAGAGGTGTGTGTTTTTATTATATTCTGATTCCTTCTATTCACTCTCCTGAGTATGTATTTCTCATCTTCGTGGATATTGACAGGGATTACACCGCAACTTGATTTCAGCACAAAATATATCTAAGGCAACAATTGATTTTCTGTCTGACATCAATAATCAAGCTTCCAAGTTCATGACAAACCTAGAAGAAACACAAGCCAAGAAATCTCAGCTTTTAACAAATTTTGAAAACAGATTTAAGGCAAGTTGATTCTACATGTGATTGATTTTGGGAAGAAATTGAAGGCTAAAATTAACTTGAACTGCTGAACAGGAAGAAGCTGCTAGGGAGGAAAAGACAGCTTTGGAAATGATTGCATCAATATTAGCAACTTTGACATCCAATAAAAGTGCTATGGTTGGTAATCTGCCACTTTCTTATCTTACAAAGCCCAAATAATTTTTAAGAATTCTATGCTTATAGAAATTATATAGGTCTCAGAGGCATCAAGAAACATGAAGGAGTTGGGTATTCGAGATAATAGGATATTGCAGCAGCAGATATCCTTGCTGCAACAGGTTTCAGCTGATGCTGGGAAGGAAATGAGCAAGTACATAGAAAAAATGGAAGGCAATTTCATAGAAGACACCTTCTCAGTGGCTGAATCTAGGGGTATAATGGAAGATGGCCTTCAAGAATGGTAAGCTTTCATTTGTGTACTGATGATACGCATAGTCATCCATTCCTGTTTCTGCAAACCAATTAGCAAGGGCAGGGAATAGCCTCTCCTCTGCTCTCTATCCAATGTATTTGATTCCAAGTCTCAACACAAGATCAATTCATAAACTCCTTGTTTTAATGTTCTAAATAGTTAATTCTAGTTGCAGAGTTACTCAATATAATTGTATCTTTTAATTTAATGTAGCTCAAAGAAAGCGAATGATTCAAGAATGGTAAGCTTTCATTTGTGTACTGATGATACGCATAGTCATCCATTCCTGTTTCTGCAAACCAATTAGCAAGGGCAGGGAATAGCCTCTCCTCTGCTCTCTATCCAATGTATTTGATTCCAAGTCTCAACACAAGATCAATTCATAAACTCCTTGTTTTAATGTTCTAAATAGTTAATTCTAGTTACAGAGTTACTCAATATAATTGTATCTTTTAATTTAATGTAGCTCAAAGAAAGCGAATGATTCAAGACAGCAGTGGGAAAATGCCGAGTCATACATAAATGAACTTAATATAAGCAGTCTTGCAGAGGTCAAATCTACGGTTAAGTAAGTTTTTCTTGTTCCTTGGTTCTTATAAACTCCTTGTTTTTTGAACTTTAGAAGTCTTCTGAGCTAAACTCTCTCTGCTGCTTATTTATTATATTGACAGGGACAATATCAAAAGAAATCACACAGTACATGAAGAATTTTTATCCGCAGTCTCGTCTATGGATGCCGAGTTTGATGCTAGAACTGGAGATGTAATGGCAGCAAGCAAAGGTAATTTATTTAATATATTTGTACATTAAGTGTAAGTTCCTTATTTTAGAATTGCATTTCTTTCTCAATCTAAGTGGGAAAATATTGTCCATTGGCAGATTCATTGCTTTGTGACCACCAAAGTAAGAAGGAAATAGACTCCTTTACGACCGTGTGCTTAGACCAACTTAAAACAGTGCAAGAAAACCATGGTGAAAGCATTTCAAAAATCAGAAGTGAAGCTGAGAAATGCCTCGTAAAAGACTACTCGGTAGGTTGGCTTGCTCAAAATGTCCTTGACATTGTTATAGAATTTCTAAATATATATAAATTCAGAACATTTGCTCAACCTTTGACATTGTTATAGAATTTCTAAATATATAATTGGCCCTGCCTTGAACAGGTTGATCACCATAGTAACACAACACCAAAGAAGCGAGAAATAGTTGTGCCCAGCTTAGAATCAATTGAAGAGATGAGAACACCGTCCTTCGAAGATGTCAAGGAAGCAGAAAATAACTCAAAGAACAGATCAAAATGGGACAACAGTGAAAGCAAAATCCAGCAACAGGTCACATGTATGGCATTCTCACCGAATAGAACTCCTTTTGCAGATGTCAATTGATTACGATTAGGACAATCAATTCATATGACCAAAGCCGATATAGGGACGTTGTAGAAATGCTCATCAGCTGATGAGTACAAAACCCTTGTTCTTAACCTGTTACTGTCAAAAATTTAGGACTGAATCTCAAATATGTTACTATGTGTAATTCTTACACCATTTGTTCTGTCAATGTTGATGCTATGCTTACATAACCAAAGCATATTAAGATATTTCAACTTTAATTCTAATTTTACTAAGTCGTCATTACATCAAATAAACTTACATCATATCTTAGATCAGATGATAAAATCCAAGATGTCAAACAAAGGAAAAGGTGGAACTTGGATTTCTTCCATTATATTCAATTACTGCAGCCATTTCAAATTTTTAGAGCTTTATCGATTGAAGATTGGCTTTAGTCAAATATGTTTTGGATGCTGTCCCTTACCTGCCTTAACCATAAAAGGCAAAATTGACTTGAACACCCTGTAAAATGGGACCTGGCGCTCTAAAATATTTCTCCATTCACACTGCATGACTGGAGTATAATTCATTTTTGCAAGCAAGAAGCATCCCACAGGAAGCAAAATCAATGCCTGCGGCCCATATTCCTTGAAACTTTGAAAAAAGTTGACAATTCCACTTGGTCTGCAACAAATGGTTTATCTACTACTTTGGTAATTATGCTGCAGCAGCAGTAATAACAAAAGGTTTGAACATTGAATTTTTCATATATTTTGACCAATTAGCTTTCAAACCCTTCACTTTTTTTAACGTTCTTTGGGCAGTTGGGTAATGATATCCAGTTATCCAACACTGATCTCTATTATATGACCTTTTAATGGCGGCTATAGGAGTAATGATCAGTAATCATCAATCAAATTACTGTTATTTTTATGTACTTTTGTGTTGGATTAGATGTTCTAAAACAAAAAGCGCCCGAAGCTTCAGTGAGAGTCACTGTTAAAGCCGTAGCTCGCCACTCGTGACCTTGTCTCCAGTAAGACCAACGTGGAGAAGGAAACTGCCCCTCACTACCAAAACAAAGAAAAACGCTGTTTTACATTTCCTTATTTTTGACCAAATTGAGGTACTTTTGATAATCACAACACGCTGAAGGAGCGGTAAAGGTGTTTCACAAGCAAAATAATGGGCACTTTTCTGCCGTTTAGAATAGTCAGATTAGCAGTCAAACTTCACAGCTTCAAGGGTTTATATATGGCTGCTCAAACACCAGCTCCCAAGTTTCTCATCTTCTATTCATATTCAGATTTGGTAAGTTTTCCTGGTAGCTAGTAATGAAGAGAGAAAGAGAGAATGGAGAGATTCAGGGTTTTGACATTGCTAAATGTCTAATGCTGATATCTCAAGGCCTGGAAACCAAGCCAAAAGACCATTTGGTGAGCGAGGTTTTCAAGTGTAAAACTTGTCACCGTCGCTTCTCATCGTTCCAAGCATTGGGAGGTCACCGAGCAGGCCACAAAAGACCCAGACTGACGGCGGACAAAGCAAATGAACAAACACAATTCCTTAGTTCATCAACCAAGCGTAAGGCTCACGAGTGCTCCATTTGCGGCCAAGAGTTTTCTATGGGACAAGCTTTGGGTGGGCATATGAGGAGGCATAGAGCTGCCATGAACGAAAGCTTCTCACCTTTCCCGGTTGTTCCAACGTTGCCGGTGTTGAAGAGATCGAATAGTAGTCGGAGGGTTGTGTGCTTGGACTTGAATTTGACTCCATTGCAGAATGATTTGCTCGTTTTATTTGGGACCAAGGTTGATTATCTTCGCATTTGATATAATCCCATTATTTTCCCATATGACACTTGTAATGTTCACTTCATTAACAACATTTTTTCATTTGTTTTACGTACAACATTTGAAATCTTTTTTTTTCTCTTTATTTATTATTTGTATTACTTAAATTTGTTTCTTTGTAATCTATTTAAACAATGATTTACCATCGACATTTCAATGTGAAATAAAGACGTAAATGAATAAAATATTCGATAAATAATTATTAAATAAATTTAATTTTTATTAATTTATATTAATTTATTAAATTTAATAAATAAATTATAAATAATATTGTAATATTCATTAATTAAATAAATATATCATTAATAAAGTAAACTTCATTTATATTCAATTTATTTACACTAAAACTATAAATGCATATGAATTTGAGCAACATGCTAGTTGCAAAACAACACCCAAATAATCACATCTACTTTGAGAATGGGGAGACAATTTATGGGAACGTCCAAGAAAAATGATTTACATAAAATTGTGTAAGTGAAATTCATAAAATTCTTTATTATAAATGAGTAAATAAAAATTAAAATCGAAAATCAAAATTAATAAATTGAAAAAACTCATCATATAAATTAAGTCTGTAAATTTTAAAAAAATTTTAATAAATTTTGATATATTTATTAAATAGATATTGTTAGTAAAAATATGGACAGAATTTTTATCATTCAATAAATATTGATCAAATTTGAATTATAAATAATATTTTTAATAATTTTTTTTACATATTATTGATCTTCACATTAAATTTTATCAATTTATCAATTTAAATTTTTTATTAAAAATTTTATCTACTCATTTTTAATTAAAAAAATTTCACGAAAACCTTAAAAGCACACTTCTAAAAATGTTGTTTGACATTATTCTGACCATAACTGGTTTACCTATTAACCAGTGTAGACACCCTAATTGGTCTGGGCCCAAGTTCATTGGGCTTGGTTCAATAAGGTTCAGGCCTAAACCCATTGGGCCTATTTCAATGGGGTCCAAGTAAATAGCCCAACTTTTTGTTATTTTATTTTATTTTTATTCTTGTTTTTATTTTTATCTTTTATTATTATTTATTTTATTTTAAGATAATAGGATATTAGTAAAAAAAAAGGGAAAAATTGTAAATTATGCTGTGCATAGGCATTGGTAGAATTACATTTAGTTTCAATCTCTCTAGGATAATTCTTAAGTTTTTTGATAATGTGAAAACCCAATTGAAAGGGGGTTTTTAATTGATCAAAAACTCTTCTGATCTGGTTCTATAAATACAATCTTGAACACAACACATGAGGGAGCACAGAAAAGATCACACATGAAGTAAAAAGAAAATAGAAAAAAAACACACAGAAATCAGAAATTACAAGCAGAAAGCAATCAAAAAGGTTTTTGAAGATTTTTGGGTTTAGAAAAAAAAAGTAATTTTTTTGGAAAAATCTGGAAAATTCTCATATTTCGACTAAATTTTTAGTTCTCAATGAATTTTTCGACGTTGATTGAATTTTTCGATGAAATTTTTAATGCCGGTTGAATTTTTTAGCCATTTCAGAATCTGGTGAAGATTCCAACGAAGTTTGAATTTTTTGGTGACCGTCTAGCAAACCAACCCAGATTTCGACGATAATTTTCAGAATCCAATTGATATTCAATCAGAGATTTAACCAGGTTAAAGAGAAGGGAGAGAAAAAAAAAAAGAAAGAAAGAGAAAGGGAAAGAGAGATCTGAGGTAAAAAGCATGAAATTAGCCTTTTATAGCCTTGTCAAAATGACGTCATTTTGGCGTTTAAGAAGACCTAGAATCTGCACGTTTTTCATTTAGGTGACCCGACCCGAGTGCAACCCTATCCGTCGACCCGTGTCTTAGCCAAACCTTGCCATTGAGCTGAGCCATATCGATTTTCCCTAAGCTGCGCTTTGAGCCATCTTTTGTGCCTGCAGCTGAGCCAATTTAGTCACTACTGTCGAGTCATTTCTATTTTTTGATATTTTTTATTTAATATTTTTTTTATGTTTTTTTTTTATTTTTTTGCATGATTAAATTTTTTAAAAAATAAAAAAATAAATTTTGAGAATAAATATTAATTATCGAATGATGAAATTTATAAAAATTTCAAATGATAAATTTATATAAAATTTTTAGGTGAGAAATTTTATCTAAATTTATCCCAAATTGTGAAATAATTTAAATAAAGTTTCAATAACAATAATTAATATTTATTTTTTAAAAAAAATATAAAAATATAAAAAGTTTGGAATTAAATACAAATTATCCAAGGATGAGATTCTTAAAAATTTCAAATGGTAAATTTTTAAGAAATCTCTAGGTGAGAAATTTTATCTAAATTTATCCCAAATTGTGAAATAATTTAGATAAATTTTCAATATAAGTAATTGTATTAATTTCCAAATAAAAATTTGAGTTGAAAATATTTGATAATTATCTAAGGATGAGATTTTTAGAAATTTCAAATGGTAAATTTCTAAGAAATCTTTAGGTTAAAAATTTTCTTTAAATTTGTCCCAAATTGTGAAATAATTTAAATAAAATTTCAATAAAAATAATTATCATATTATTTTTTTTAAAAAAAATATAATATAAAAAAAATAAATTTCTAAATAAGCCCAAATGGTGAAAATTTTAGAAATTCAAAAAAATATTTTTGACAAAAAAATAATAAATAAATTTTTTTCCAACGACAGAGCCTCTTCAAAGAAACAAATGGGATCCTTGAATACTCTTGAGGAGATAAAATATTTTTTAAGAGTTTTACCAAATTGATGGAGAATCTTAAGAATTATTTCCAATATTTAACATTAAATTTTTAAAACCATTAAAACCAAGACCCTAGGATGAATTTAAAATAATATGATATCATCTTTCAGATGAGCATGTGAAGGTGCTATAACCTTCCCCACATGTAATCGAATTTTCGAACCTTGTTCTGGTTTGTAGACCCGAACATATTCTTTTAAAGACCCTTAGTCAAGCTTAGGAGCTCCTTAAGATGATAGATTCATAAGGTGGCCAATCACACCTAGTTAAAAAAGATTGATGGTGACTTCATTCATTTTGTTAAATTTAGCTATAGATTTATATATCTATATTTTATGACAGTTTGACAACTCCACTGGGGAGCTATAGAGAGTTAAGCTATAACTTTTAAATTTATCCTATCATTTGGTCTAATGGTTCTAAATTGTAAATTATTTGTTTACTAACGTTTTTCCTTTTTTGTTTCTTATTTGATTTTTGGGGCATAAAACCTACATGTTTTTTCGCACACACTATTATATGTATTCGCATTACATGAGCTCTATACCCAAGCTCTGTCCCTCTTAGGAATGAGTAAAGTATCTACGCTCTCGTGAGATGATAATCTTCATAATAGCTAGTAAAATATTCTCACTTAAGTTGAATCTTTTCCATTAGCAGCCTGTGATGGGTGAATATTGGACTGCCTTACTAGTCTGTGATGGACAATGATGTAAGAAATAATTTGAGAACCTTTAGTGGTCAAAATCACCTAACCCTACATGTAGTTCACATCTAAGAAGCCAGCCTTAGGATAGAGCCTTTCTACCCAAGTGATAGATGTAAACCGAAATTAGGACATAAGAAAAGAGAACTTGTATATTACTTATCTAACCATGTTGTTTGTCTAATTTTGTGCATCTACATTCTATGCATCATTTTCATATTATCATATCATTTTATTTTATGCATCATTTTCATGATCATTTTTTAACATTATCATTTCCATCATTCTCATTTCATTCATACATCAACATATTAAACATAAAGCATAGCATCTTATTTTTTATCATAATTATGGTATTAAGATTCAAGGATAGCTTTATCAACCAAAAATCCCACACAGTCGACTTACTAGTACAACATAAGAGCTCGAGCCAGACAAATAGAATAAAAAAATTCTAATCATATTGAAAAGATAGAGAAAGCTCAAGAGAAGCTAGAAAGGGAGTTGAATAGAATTTTGAAGGCTTTGAACAAATTAAACAAAGGGAAAGGAATAAAAAAAGTACTAACCAACAAGATCATCCATCATAAGAGGTAGATGACCCACTGTACCCTCTTAATTTTGGGCTACATCAAGCCCAACCAACACAAGGTCCACTACCACAGTAGTTCACTTATCTTATAGGGTACATATATCCTGGAATGCTATCAGTTTCAAACTCTGAATAATATCAGAGTTATGTAAATCTTATCTTTCTAGAAAAAGTAGTAGAATCAATTTAGGTCTCTGATTTAGACGATCTAAAGGAGAATGAAAATTTAAAATCAAAAGGGGGTGCGTCACTAAGGGACTCGAAGGTTGACTAGAAGATTAGTATGCTAGAAGAGAGGCTACGAGTGGTGGAAGGAGTTAGTTTTTATGATTTTATAGATGTTGTTGGGTTCTGTTTAGTCTCAGATATGGTTATTCCTTTAAAGTTCAAGGTTTCAAAGTTTGAGAAGTATGATGGTACAAAGTGTTCGAAGATCCATATTACTATATACTAGCGAAAGATGGCTGCCCATGCTAATAATAAAAAACTATTGATGCATGTATTTTAAGATAGCTTTACGAACTCTGTTGCTAAGTGGTATGTCTAGTTGGATAGAACTCGTATTCGCTATTTGAATGAAATGGCCCATGACTTCATCAATCAGTATCGACATATCATAGACTTAGCCCCTGATCGCCTATCTTTACAGAATATGAAAAAAAAGTAACTGAATCATTTAAAGAATATACCTAAAGGTAGAAAGACATAGCTTTCTAGGTGCAACCTCTTTTGACTGAGAAAGAGACCATGATGTTGTTTGTCAGTACTTTGAAGTCTTCCTATTATGAAAAAATTATAGGAAATGCTACAAAAAATTTTACTAACATGGTGATCTTAGGCGAAATCATTGAGAATGCCATTAAAAATGACAAGTTGAAATGAGGAGAAACTAAAAAGACCCAGAGAAGAAAAAGGTTGAAGCCCAAGCCGTGAGCTTTAGCAAACAATTTAGGGGATATCAATCTTATCTATCATAAGGTTACTTTTCATACTATCCTGCTATAAACAATACTTTATCTTACTCATAGCAACTAGCCTCATTGCCATCTTGCTCATCTACATACCAGCCTATTTTTAGCCTTCAACCTCTCGTATAAGGCCTTAACATTCACCCTTCCTCGAGACCT